ATCACCACCCACCGCCAACTCTTGGGCTACTCTTTTATCAACGAATAGTGGGATTGATCGTCACATTATAACGCCCCCACGGCTGAAAGGGCGAGCATGTTTGGTGGGATGCGGATTCGAACCCGCGACCCTCAGATTGTGAGTCGAGCGCCTTATCCACCTGGCCATGCCGGGCACCGTTAATAGTATGTGATAAGCTCAACTTTTCTTATTCTTAGCTCATTCATCTTTCCACATATAGTGTAATCCAACAGTTTCGTCACAAAGTAAAAAAAAAAAAAACTCACGGAAATAATTATAAAGTAACAAGCAACTGATCAAATTAGAAAATATTTGAAAGCAAAAACCTTTTCCTTTGTTGTAGTTCAGCTATTTTATTAAATAACATTATAACGTTATTTATATAAGATAAGCAAATAAAACCAGGATATAAACTCCACCTTGAGTTGGTCTAATGGCTACCGTACTCCGACTATAAATCCTAGGATTCATTGATGCAGCAAATTATAACGTTATTTATATAAGATAAGCAAATAAAACCAGGATATTAACTCCTCCTTGGGTTGGTCTAATGGCTACCGTACTCCGACTATAAATCCTAGGATTCATTGATGCAGCAAATGTATCACAAAAGTGATGATCAAATCCCACTGTATGGTGAGACAAGAGTAGAATCCAAAAGTTAACGATGATTTCTGTTGATTAGCTTCCTTCATTCCTTTCAGAATTAGGTAATGCTCCAGCAGAAAACCTTGTGTAGGTTTGCTCGATTTTCAAGTAAACGCTGTAAGAATAATAAAATCCTAATTCGAGAGGTATTTTCAGAAATATAGCGGTGAAGTGAGAATGTACTATATCAGGTTTAACTGCTGTTTATAAGCCTCATGCGCGAAATTAAACTTTCCAATACTTGAACACGAAATTTTGCTTTGTTTTTCTGATTCTCGCTCTATGAAAAAAGTGAATTAATTTGATTACAGTAGACTCCAATGTTGTTCGCAGTTTAATTAATCTTTGCTGTACAACTATAAGAAATTTAATTGGTAAATTTTCTTAGTCATTTTAAACCTTTATAAATTTCAAAAAAGAAAGATTCACTCTATGAATTATAATTGTATACAGTTTTACACCTCTGTTTAAAATAATATACTGAATTAATAATAATACAATAATCGTAGGTTATGTCGACTTTCCTGCCAAGTTTCTACAATAATCGTTGGTTACGCCGACTTTCCCGCTGAGTTTCTACAATAAGCATAGGTTACGTCGACTTTCCCGCTGAATATCTACAATAATCATAAGTTTCATCGACTTTCCTGCTGAGTTTCTACAATAACCATAGGTTACGTCGACTTTCCTGCCGAATTTCTACAATAATCATAGGTTACGTTGACTTTCTTGCTGAGTTTCCACAATAATCAAGAGCTACTTTCCTGCCGAGTTTCTACAATAACCATAGGTTACGTTGACTTTCTTGCTGAGTTTCTACAATAACCATAGGTTACGTCGACTTTCTTGCTGAGTTTCCACAATAATCAAGAGCTACTTTCCTGCCGAGTTTCTACAATAACCATAGGTTACGTCG